GAAAGAGTTATCTTTACTATTAAGGTCAACCATGTGATTTGGTGCCATTTGTGGGCTTAAACACAAAGTGCTCGGCTTTGCAGAATTGAGGCCCGTCGACACTACGAAATATAAGCTGGAATGGTAAATTTGGGGCAAGGTTGCATGTTGGGGTCGATTAACTAAGCTCAGTGGAATTCATATTCATCAAGGCTAATAAGTTTGCATAAAAAATAATGAACAGGCACATTGACATGGGCGTGCGTTGTCTGTGTGGTTTAAAAATATCACTTGTGGAGAGAACTGTTTATAACATGAGATATTTATTTTAAATCCCTTCTGAGAATGAATTAGAAACATTCTGAAATTACTGACCACAGTCTGACCATAGTGGGTATTTCCAAAAAACACAGGTATCGATCACCTAAACCATATTCAGCTCCAGCCAGCTGTGCTATAACTGGGTGCACTTTTCTTAACGTTCGAAAACTTGTTTGTTTTTTTATTCGTGACTTTGACCCTGAACATCTGTGTTCTCCGTTCAGTGCGTGCGTCTGATACGGGTTTAAACCGTTAACATGCAACAGCAAACTTGGGCTTATTTAGAATAGCTACCCTACAAGCTAGTTAGATAAGAATTCGCCATTCGATTTTATTTCTAATTTCCTGACAGATTGCAGAAAAAAAATGTTCAGGTCACACTGATTAAGCTGTTTAAGAATATCAATAACAGTTGACCTCTGTCCCTAGACACTCATGAAGGTGGCTCCAGCCGTGTCATTGCCTGGGGGGTTAGATGGCATATCCGTGTTAGCCAGGGGGGCAACAGCATTGCCGTGCCTGTTCTCGTTCCTACCTCAGCCTTCCTTCCAACCTGTGCCGGCGTTCTGGGTCTCAAAGAGCAGCTGAGAATGTCATCGCCCAATAGCTCTGCCAGCAGACGGTATGGTAGCTCTTTTAATCTACTTCAGGTTACGCTACCAGTATTATTTTAAATCACCTTTAAATCACCTTAAATCGGTTTTTTGGTAGTGGCACAGCTTTGAGGAATGGGCTGTCGAAGCTACTTGCAAAATCCTTTCGTTTTCCTTTTGAGAAGGCAAGGGCAGACACAACTGCACCGCGAGTCAGTTCTAGCAGGATAATTATGGGGGGCATAAGCTCTAACATGCAGACAAGCTTTTAACTAGAGGGCTTCCAGTAAGTGAGATAGATGTGCTGGCAGAAAAAAAAATGCTCCTTGCGGATCTGTGTTCTTTGCTGCGGCTTGCTCCGGTGAACCCTTCATCAAAGCTGCAACTTTCCCTGACGATGCAGGGTTCCTTGTCTTAAATAGTTCCCAGTATAAAATAAGCTGTCTTGGGAGAAAGAATGCTTTTTAAAAAATCTGCTTTCACGTTACAATTTGGGTTGCACGATGACTTAACATTTTTTTACCGTTCTGAGTATAGATAAAACTTAATGTTTGCTGTTATGGGGAAAAAGTCTTTTCCCCTTCCTTACATGGTTAAAACCTTAAGATTTTTTATGCCACTCTTTTATCTATGTTTTAGCAGTATGAAGGAAATCAATCTGAATTGCAGCTGCTTCAGCTGACCTGCATGTCAGGCAAAGGGTTTTAGGCAGCTGTAAAGATAAGACTAATATTGGTGTGATTTATTCTGCTCTACATGAACTTAGCCAGACAGGAAACACATTCTTAATGTCTGAAACCACAAGATATTTACAACATGATGTTTTTTTCCTGAATTTGAAGCATACGTGCTGTGTCAGTACAGCAGGCTTGTGCATCGTTACGTCACGTCCCCAGTCTTGTTCCTGGCCCTGTCTTTAGTGCACGGGGTGCCCTGGTCCCCTCTGCGAGGGAATAAAAAAATTGGTTTCATTTATTGTTTGTACTTGAGTTCTAAAAATGTATTTCTAGGTTTTAATTTCCCTGTAGGTGCTCAGGCATAAGATGATAACTATTTCTCTAAGCTGTTAGCCATTATGTAGAATTTTAATTGATCTGGCCCTCTTTGAAGGGTACCCTTCGAGAGGATTATCTAAAGCTTCAGGCAGCAGCACCCTCAAATGCTGAGCCAACCTAAGATTTTGATGGTGCAGTTAGTAAATCTCCGTAAGTGCCAAAAAGATGCTAAACTTTCATGTCCACATCTAATAGTCCTGTAAAAACATTACTTTTTTGAAAGTGACGCTTTGCTTGTCTGAACAGGGAAACGTGAAGCCAAACTAGAATGATATGACTGTAATATTAATAATTGTACCGGTGTTACAAGAGATGTGAACGCTGGCCTTTTCTCACTTGCAAAGTGGTAAGGATGAGCTGGAACAAGTCATTCGTATTTCAGAATAAATGCCCTCGGCAAGTTTTACCACCAAATACTACTCATATCTTAAATTCATAACCTATGAACTCTCTTAGCCACATAGATTCTACTGGCTTCCAGTCAGACTTAGACATTTACATGCTTCAATCATTTGGCATTTACTCTAGGAAACGTTTCAGGATATTTGGAACCTTTTATCTCAAATCGCAATTATTTTTCATCTTCGTTTCCTCGATCCAGCTCCTCGCTAAGCTGTTTTTTTCCTAAGTAGGTTTTTAAGGTGTGCCACCTCTGATATTGTTCATTTCAATCCTTCTCATTTTTCATCTAACCACAGCATTATGGGGTGGGTGTGGGTGTGTGTGTGTGTGTGTGTGTGTACTTGTACTTTCAGATAAAACAGCTCATCTGTCACTGAAAAGATGTGACTAAAACATTCTGTACATAAAAATCTTCCAGAATGAGCATGGGGGCAATTTAATCTGAAAAATAATTTGTCTAAGAGCACTCCCACAGAAAAGTAGAATTTAAGGAAAGATGACAGTCAAGCTTGATCACAATGTGCTACCCAGTTCCTGCCCAGTCGTGAGTTTAAGGTATATAATGCCTTCCTACCATTGCGATATGCTATTATTCATGTGCCATGGAAGGAAAATGTTGCTAATAGTTAAGAGATGATGACTAGTAAATAGGGTGTGTCTTTGGAAAAACCCTGAAATGAAAAATTGCTATTGCACAGAAGTAGAGAGAACTGGTATTTTCCATAGTTCAGTAAGCTATTCATAGTAAATACTAATGAGTTAATCCACAGGACAAGTACTTCGATACATGGCAGTCACGAGGCGAAAGCATCTGCAGGCTACGTTCACCCGTGGTGTAATTCTACCGGCGGCAGTGGAGCGACTTCTAGGTCGAACGTTTCTGTTTAATATATGTAATATATTCTGTAAATATGAAGTTGGAGACTATTTTCTAATGATGCCGGTGTAACGTGTGGCTGCGATATGTAATATGTCAGGTGGGGCGGGACAGAAAGTCATTGGAAAGGTAGACAAATAATTCAGATCATGGGAAAAATCCCATGGGAGTTAAGGAACCTCAAATTGCAATCTTTGCCATAGCACACCTACTGAAGAGCAGCTCTAGGGGAGTCTTTCTCGTTAGCACCAGACACCCACCCTTTAACTACCCAACTTTCCTTCACAGGGGTTGAAAACAGGCTGGTAATGTAGAAAAGATTGTTCAAACAGCAGAGGCCCATTGCTATTTTTGTACGGAAAAGAGCGCTAAGCTACCGTTGTGGCGCAAAACGAAAAGGGCGAGACTTTGCTATAGTGCAACCCAGAGGCAGTCCTTCTGCTAGAAAAGCTTGCGTGTCAAACAGAATAAGAATAAATGAGAACATGAGTTTCCTCTTCCATTTAAGCTGAATGAATTGGTAAAGAGCACATGTAAGAGCACATGTTTGCCTCTAAAATTTTCTGATCGTATTACCACGATGTTCTATTTTGTTGACAAGAGAAGATTTCTGCGTCTGTAGGAAAGATTCCTGAATGTGGTAATTTGCTGATTTAAAGAACCGGGAGGACGATCCTTCAGTGGTGTATGGCTTTAGAAGGGAGGAGACCTTGGTCACAGCTCTGGGATATTTATGGCTTCAGTTTCCCCGTCGTTAAGCTGCGGGTGATAATAGATCATTACCTCCTGTAGAGCGGAGACTCGGTTCCTCACTGAAGAAGGCTCTCAAGTTAAGAAAAGTATTTTTTTGCTCTCATACAGCCACATGGAACTCCGTCATCGTCCTAATGTGACAGAGTGACACGTGGCCTTGCAGTACACGGTGGTTCGAGAGTTTTTCTTGAAGTGCATCCTGAGCTTTCTGTCAAAAAAATACAAAACTCTACCGGACAGTTAAATAACCTAGGTATTTTCACGATGTAAGGAAATAGAAAAGTGGCATGGTGAAGGCTTTGTGGTCCGTATGTTATTTCTCCCACATAAAGTAGCTGGTCTAATAAAGGTATTAATTATCATTACAAATAAGTCTAATAAAGGTATTACCGTTACCAAGAAATCTTGTCTCGCTGACC